CGCGCCATACCTAATTTAATTGGCGTCCCATACTCGATTTTTTTTTTTTTATTCCGTCTATCTCTAAATTAACTTTCTCGTTGGTGGCGCTGTCCAGAATGAGAAAAATAATTAAAAAAATAAGAGACTTGTGGCAAGTCTAACGGATAACTAGCTGTACCCATGGCTGTACAGAACTTTCTGAGTAAATTGAGGGCGCAATTGCAAACGATGGTGCTTAGGCGAAATTTGATTGGCTAAATCTTTGACAGCCATCTTGGATGGTACACACACACAGCTCTGCGTATTTCGAACATCGGATACATTGCGGTTAGCGCTCTAGTATTCTTATATTATATCTCTATGTGTGTTCCCCGCTTTTGGATCGCGCGCGGGCGTATTACCCTATAATTCACATTTTTTCGTTAGCAACAACTTGCCAACGACATGCATTTATACGCTTCCAGCAGAGCTGCAGTTGTGCAATAACGTTTGATTTTAACCCATTAAATATCTTTATAATGAACAATGTTCCCCTGATTAGATTTTTTCTGGCTTTTGGTATGTTATTATTTGTATATTTCAGGAACGGATTCCGTAAAATATTTATGTTAAAATTACTACTGTGTTCATTATAATTTTGTCTAAAGATTGACTGGTTCGACCATAAAGCTAAGTCAGCGTAAAACCTAAAAATACTCAGATTTTGAATTCATTTTTCGAATAGTTAACCCTCGTTAACCCTAAAATGACTTAGTTTATTATAATCCTTAATCATTTATTAATTAATATCTGTTAAAATTAGAAATGGGTTTGTCGCGTCAAAGGGATCTGTTGCCGAGTGATCTCCTTCTCAATAATACCTCCACTCGCACAAATCGAAAGCTCCTTATTTTTGTCGGCCGACGCGATTCCAAGGGCAAAACACAAACGAGGCGTGCGTGCGAGGCGGCTCGATTTTAGCCTGCAGACTACGTCAAGTCGAGCCGAGCGCTCACCTAGACCGCAGTGTGTGCCCGGCTTTGTGCACTCTAATCTGGAATCTGAATGACTATTCTCTTTAAGGAACAGTAATGACTACTTTAGAATTGTACTACTGTAGTTTCATTTAGAGTCTTTGGATTACATTCTGAATCAAATCATAAAGAACACAAAGAAGCTCAGTTTCAAAATGGACTCCATGTTATTTTTGTAAACTTGCTTAGGTACCCGAATAAGTGTAATTGATTTATTCTCACCACTTAATAACGAGATTTAGTTCAAATATCATTTTAAAAGTATATTATATAAACCAAATAATAACGTCAGCGATATTACAAAGCTAAAGCGACCGATGGTACTGGTATGAGCATTTATATTGCGCCCGATATTGCGCCTTTTTGCTTGCGGTTGTAAAAGCGCATGTAAGTCCCAATGTTTAGGGAAAAATTCAGGCTGCATGTTAAACACAAAGTCACAAGCACCACAACAATATTTTCAAAACAATTAACAACAAAAGTACAACACAACACGTACAACAGACACAACACTCAGAAAAATAAAATTGGAGGACAATTTCCTTGTAATTATCTTCGTTAATACAGATTTAATAAATTAAACCAGGGTACCTTACATTGGTGCTGTGGGCCTTGTATATAAGCCTACTGAAAGTTTCTGATGTTGTTCTGAAGTATTATAATTTTTTAAATAAAACTGCTTTATGTCGTTTTTTTTTTATATAAATCCTCCGATTTCATTTCGTCATTATCAAATTATCTTAACAACTTTTGCTCACCTGTCAGGTGTAGCAACCTGATATAGATGAATACCGTAAAACCTCGAATAGAAGCCCAATTCTAGAAGTCGATCTCGAATTGAAGCCCCCTTTTTAGTTTACAAAATTGAAGTAGCCACGAAAAGAAGCCCATTTGGAAGCCCATGAAAGTACCGTACATACACTGTACATGAATTCCAAGAAACAAAATAAATTTAACAAACACGCTTGGTTTACACTGTAGTTGTGATATAATGCCTGTTTTTACACACTGTGATACAGATTGATGTACAAAGTTTCAATTCAATAAAATGTAAAATCGTTTTTTTATAATTAATAAATTAATTTTAAACAAATCCTAAATAAATAAATAGAAACTTAATAATCACATTAATAAATTTTTAACAGATTTTTTAAGAATAAGTAATCAGTATTTTCTTTTTTAATTCCAACATTAAATTATAAGATCCAGTAATTTGAACAATTTGTTTGGGTTTTTTTAATAAATAATTTTAATCAATAATTTATCATTTGTTTGTTTTCTTAAATAATAGGCCTAAAAGTTAAACAATAAATTGTGTTTTTAAACAAATCAATTAATTTTCAAAGAGATGCTACTGTGATGAGTTTTAAAAACTTTTGAAGCAGAAATTTTTAAAAATAAAAAAATTATTAGATCTTTATTAATAATTATATTTTAATTTTATTTATGTAAATTCTTGCTAAAAAGATTTTTTAAAACACATTTGACAGTAGCATCTCTTAACATAATGTTACTACTCTAGATCTTAAAATTATATTCTAACTTACTCTATTATAACAAATAAATTTAGATTTTATTGCTAAAAATAAACTAAAATTTTGATAAACAATGAAGGTGAATAATTATTTTCAAAATAAACAAAATTTAGATCACAGGAGTGATGTTTTGCCTTACCTGACGAGTTATCATACCTAATACTCAGCTTCCCAAATACTTGTGATTCACCCGAGTATTGCTTACGATAACACGTCAGGTAGGGCAAAACAACACTCCATGATATTTTTCTGACGCATACTGACATGGAAATAAGATATAAATTATTCTCAAAAACACATGGTCTACCGTACTAACGTCGATTTATGTTGATATATTGATTTACTTTTTGCTATTTAGAATTTATGTACTGTAGTTGGAAGATTAAAAAGGAAAAATCAATTTGTATTACTGAATTTTATCATTGGGCCCATTTTTACCAGGACCATTTCATCCAGGTCCATTTTTACCAGGGCCATTTCATCCAGGTCCATTTTTTCCAGGGCCATTTTTTCAGAGGCAATGTTTTTCGGGGCCATTTTTGCCATGTATTCTTTGACGGTATGCTTATGGTACACAAAAGAACTGACTGTTGGTCAATATTTGCATCAGAAAAGGTTTAATTGAATTCAGTTGATGCGTGTCCGACAATGCTTAAAATGGAAAGCTACTAAAAAGATAAAAAAAAACAAAAAAAAAACGCTTCAACAATTATTGAGTAAACCACAGAGCCTAGGGTCTGTGAGTAAACCAAGATTACTTCATGGTTAAAATGGGTAAAGGTGACAATTCTCATTGCATGTTTTGTAAGAAATTTGACGAGTCGATTATACATTTATTTTGGGACTGCAGTGATATTATTAAGATCTACTGGAACTGTTTCCAGACTTGGGTAAATGATTCCTTAAAGTAAATTTAGTGCTGAGTAAAAAACTGGTCCCTTTTGGGAAACTTTGAACAAAGAGATTATGTTTTTAATAACATAATAATGGTCCTAAAATTCCATATTTATAAAATGGTTTAAAAATTGTATGCCTATCTTCAAGAATGCATTAACTGAGATAACACATTTCTATAAAGTGGAAAGGTATATGTTTGATACCAACTGTAAGAAAAACGAATTTAAAGTACTTTGGCATAACTGGCGCGCTCTTTTAAAAGAAAAATAACTTAATAACTAAAACGGAATATATAATAGATTAGTTATGTTGGAAATGTTTACATTGTAACTTAGTGAGACGTGAAAAAAAAAAAAACCTGTTATGTTTACTCCGTGGCATTACGCGTAAAAAATTAAAAAAAATTAAAAAAAAGATTACTTCATAGAAACACAAGTTTTTGTATACACAGTACACTTTTTTACAAATTGGGTAGAGATGGATCCCTTTAAAGTGTGGCTAATGGTAACAATGTAAAGCCACTTCACGCCGAATTTATTGTCAGTACAAATTTCATACACTGTAGGTTTTATTTAATTTGTTGATTAGCCTAAATTAGGTGTAGGCCTATATTAGTAATTTTGTCCCTATGGAAATTGAAATACTTAATTTACGACCCGTATTAGATTGATTAATATGGTTCTTATTATTTTTGTCTAATAAAGTGCCATAGACTACGTGTGTGTGCTGGAGGGAGGTGGGGTGGGGGGTGGTGGAATAAAACATTATCCACCAAGAGATACCAACTTCCATTGTGACCTCATATTAAAAGCTGTTTATTTCATAAACAAAATTAAAATTTTGATTTACAAAGTTTGCAAATCCTTAGCAAAAAGAGCATGGAGAAAGATGTGATCTTTTAAAAGATTGTTGTGTGAATGTCTTTTAATTTTCTCCTTTTACTTTACTGTATTTATCTTTGATGTACAGCACCATATAGGTGTGAGTTACAATAATATATGTATACATGAATCAATTTTGTTAAGATATAGTTTGTATTAATTAAGATATTTGTACGATACTGATATAAGTTGTGTATGTCAATGAATTATCATTATTACCATGAGCTGTTCTTTGTAAATAAACCAAACAATAGGTAGTCAGTGGCGGATCCAGGGGGTTCAGGGGGTTCCCCCCCCCCCTCTGTGAAGAAACGTAACAAAATACTACTGGTTCCTGGCTTACAAAATTCATGCTAACTAGATGCGGATCCAGACCTTCGCCCAGGCGAAGGTCAGGGTGAGAAATCAAAATAAAATGTTGACCATTTTTTCCAACATCATACTTACTTTCCTTGACACTTATTTTGAACATTACCATTAGGAAAATGTTTAAATTCACGCTATCCTATACCTTACACTTTTAAACTGATTGTACCAGAGAGAGGTACATTCCCAATACATATGGTCTTCCACTTCTATAGCACATGATGCATAGCAAACGTTATGTAACCACTAATAATACTCAGGTCCAGTGCCGTAGGTATGGGCAGTGCAGTATTGGGGGCTCGTTCAAAAGGTCTAATCTAGTCTAATGATCTAAAAATATAACTTTAAAAAATCCTATTTAAACTTTTAAAGGACCCTTCAATAATATTAGGTTTCAGAGGCTATAATATTGATTATATTCATTACAATTTACCTATTACCAATTTCCCACACGCTGCAAGTTAAAAAAAACCCCAACAAAACAAGCCCTTACATACGATGCACTAGTGTGCTTTTTGAAATCACATTTCTAAAGCAATAAAATATCGTCACGCACGTGTTTGTGGTATTTTAAAGTTGGTTCAACTATTATTGTGTAGGTTTTTAAACAATTCAGATCATCATAACTTCACGAATACATTTTAGATTCACTTCACTACAAGTAGGTCGATGACTGTTGTATTATTGAATGGTAATTGTTATTATCGTGATGGAATAGACAATACCTGGATTTGCGTCAGGAGAATCGATTAGGTGGCCTATATGTATTTTGTCCAACCTGTCGTGAATATGTATTGAATAATCAGTGCGTGATGCACTAATGTACTTTTTGAAATCACATTTCTAAAGAAATGAGATATCGTCACGCACATTTGTATTTGTGGCATTTTAAAGTTGGTTCAACTATTATGGTGTACGATTTGAAACAATTCAGATCATAACTTCACGAATACATTTTAGATTCACTTCACTACAAGTAGGTCGATGAGTGTTGAATTATTGAATGGTAATTATTATTATCGTGCTGGAATAGACAATACCTGGATTTGCGTCAGGAGAATCAATTAGGGGGACCTATATGTGTAATTTTGCTCAACTTGTCGTGAAAATTTACTGAATACTCAGTGCGTGTGAAAGTCGTTCTCCAGTGGGACTCGAACCCAGTTCTCCAGATCACTAGCCTGGCATCGTACCTCTAGACCACCGCGTTTGCACCTGATGGCCAGGGTTGAATTCGAGCCCAAGTAAGCAGCAAGTGCTATTTTTGCAAGTGTTTTCACACGCACTGAGTACCGGTATTTCACGACGGGTTGGACAAAATTCCACCTATACATATTCTATGTTGTCAATATTATAATGTATCATAGATTCATGAAATGCCTAATAGGCCCTAAACGATAACATATATATAACTTGACCATAGTTTGTTCTCAATATTCTTGAATCTTTTAAACAAAATATTTTTTAGATATTTCTGAAATGTCGTATCTGTTTTAAAATATCTCAGAATGTATGAGCATTAAGAGTTTCGCCTGAGTAGACCCCACTAAAGGCTCTGTCTAGGTCCGATCAGGTGCCGCATTTTACCAATTTTACCTAGGGCCCGGCAGTTATCTATGCCATAGTTACCAACTGTCACGCATCGTGCGGGACAGTCCCTCCTTCCAAAGTCATTTTGTATAATACACGCATTTTGCAGAAGCAAATGCGAGATCATAAATGTGTCACGCATTTAGCACTTGCGTGATAACGAATTATCATAAATTCAGGGGAAAACGTATTTAAAATTAGAAGAAATTGGTTTTATCAAAAATATAAAAACGGTCATACAGTAGCTTGAGTCATTAGAGAGCTTTCATTATCTCGTTCGAGAATCAATTCACAGAGAAAATTTCTCCTTTCCGACCAAAACAACCCAACCAACCACGCACTTGTAGAATCTAGTAGTCGCGAGCAGTCTTGCGAGTTTATTGTTACAACCAACCGTTGATTATGTGACTGGAACCCGAACTTCCGCAGGGGTTACCGGTACGTAATAAGTAGTATACCGTATATACTCGCGTATGTCCTATAAGGTGACCCGTGTATAAGACGACCCCAGAGTTTTAGAAGATTTTTGGTTGATATTTGTGTGTCTGGCGTATACGACGACTCCCTGTTTCATGGTCGGAATTCCTAATTTTGTGTGGTCCTGATACTGCATCTAGCTGGATAAATGTAGCCAAATGCAAGGGTAATCTTCCGACTTTGAAAATGGTGAGTACACTAAAAGTTGTTAATTTTTTTCATTTAATAGGTTGTGCACTGAAATGCATTCATTGATGTTACAGTATAGGGCCTAAGCCTTCCACACACCCAGTGCAAGGCATGTCTTCAAATCCACCCTTGAAGTACATTTCCTAGATTATTATTTACACTGTATGTACGCTGAGTTTGGGCTTCTTATGAGTTTCATTCCCATTTAGTAATTGAAAATTACAGGATAAAAACAGCACCTACAGGTACAAGACGCAATGGAGACAAAAAGGGCCCCAAGGATCTAAAGGCGACAGCCTGAACTGGATAGTCAAACATTAGGCATAGGCTTATAGTGTGACAGGTGACAATGGGACGTGTATTCATTACTAATATCAAGGAAATAGCCCTGTCTCTTATACACATCTAGATGTGTATAAGAGACAGAAAGAGAAAAGTGACGAGAAGACAAGATTCCATTAACTACATTTCATATAATACATACTCAGAGGCCGCACTTCCTCCATTGTGCTCCAAAGAGGCTGGTTTTCTTCTTTCTTCTCAAGCCATATTGCAGGTGCTCGAAACTGCCGCCAACGCTTCCCTAATTCCACGCATTGATCACTTCTTAGCAGTAACTCTACACAAATATAATTCTGGACGAATGAAAATAATACATAACAAGGTTTTCTCAACGAGTATAGCTGATGTCTGCGCCTTGAGAAATCTAGCAACGACCCCAGGAATGTTCTCCGTAAGTAGCCATGGAATACATTGGAAAAATTTATCCAGTATTTCGTTTCTGAAAACGTGTGACGACCCAGATCTCGATTTAGTGCTACATAGTAAAGTTTCAAACGACGAGTATTTTGGAAAGACTTTAAAGTTCATTCATTCAAATGAAGATGCATGCGCAGACATTGACAACGATTCTGAAGAGTCATTTTTGGTAGCACTCATTAGCACGTCACCATGGAATCACCAACGACGCAATGCAATTAGACGCACCTGGGGTGCGAGTCGAAAGATAGACAATGTTAATATAAGGGTTTTATTTGTAACCGGTGTTACACAGAAGGACAATCAATTGTATAATACAATCCTAGTGAATGAAATGTATGAATTTAATGACATTATCCAGGCTAACTTTATAGAATCTTTTCACAACCTTACGTTAAAGGTCTCACTTGGGCTCAAATGGATGACATTGTACTGCAGCCATGCTCAATATCTATATAAAGGCGATGACGATATGTTCGTTAATTTCGAACGTATTGTCAAATTTCTACAACAGAGATTAATTCCTCGGCCATTTTATTTAGGTCAGGTCATGCACAGAACCAGGACTATCCGTAGGCCGACGTCCAAATATTTCATACCAGTAAACGTATATTCTGGAAAGTACTTCCCGCCGTTTTGCAGCGGTGGTGGGTATATTATCTCCACGGACGTTATCCCTGCCATGTATAGAGCTGCCCTAAAAACACCATTATTACCGATTGATGACGCGTTTCAAGGAATAGTGGCCAAGAAAACCGATGTGAGCCCAACCATGATTGACCAGTTCAAAAACCATGGCGGCCCAAGTGACCACTGCGCCTTACGTTCGTCTATGACGGTCCATGGGTTTAAAATTGCAGACCAGCTGATGAAAGTGTGGAGTAACTATACAGACACAACATTGACATGCCCCGAAGATTATTAACATTATCACATGTTAAATTATAATAGGCCCTATACCATAAAATAATTAATCTACTTTAATAATAATCGACCCTCGCTGCTCTCGTAAAGCGGCGCACGTGACGTAGATTTTCGTTCGAATGGCGTGCGTAAAAGCTTACAGCGTTATATTGAGTAAACGTCAAGGTGCACAATTCATATAAACCTTAACCTTCAAATTACTATATTTAACATAGAAAAGAAAAAATCAATTTAGTCTGAAATACTAGCTTTCCTTGTGCAGCTGGATGACATGATGCAGCTTTGTAGATAAAGTTCTTGGTCAAATACCTGATGGATTATTGTCAATCTACTGTACGGTAGACCTATTAGTAAAATATTAAACTGTCTTACAATCGTTTCGTGTCCGCTGCTATAATTATTCTGCTATAGCTGCATTTATCTCATCTACTATATAACTATCCTTGCAATGTATTGAGATTTACGTAATCATATGATGAGATTTGATATTTGGGTCATTTGTTATAGTTTATTATCAAAGCTCATTTCCAGTCTATTTAATCACTGTCAATATTTCAATTTGTTTCTCTTCAGTATTCAGATTCAATAATATGAAGTAAAATATAACACTGGGAAGACCGGATTGGGTGAAGTTCCCTACACAGTTTAAAGCCATCTAATAGTATGCCTAACAGCACAGTTTTAACTTCACCATCGGTTACAATCCTTGCTTGACACACAAACGTTAAGCAACTCCTGCAGATTGAATTTAGAATGACGGCCGTGTCTAATTTCTGATTCTTTTAAAGGGATATTTTTAGTCTTTAGTGAATGATCCAGTAGCATAGTTCTTTTGAGAGTTGGACACACACGCATCCTGAAAAAAATAAAATTTTTACTACAGTATATTCTTTTATATAATTGCAAATACATATTTTTGGTTTTATTTCTTATTGTTTCGACTTAACTTTTTAATTACTAGAAACAAGTTTTAATGTTCTGGAAATATAATTTTGTTCATATTTTGTTTACTTTATATAGGCCTTCCTATATTCGCTTCGTATTTTTTGAAAGTTAATTAAATGTTTTTTGAACTGAGTGTAGTAGGTATGTGTGAAACTCTGAGGCTTGTGTTATCAAGATTCTGCCAGGATGCACCCATTAGTCCTATTGCGATATTATCAATCAATTCACTTTTAAGCCAGTACACACTGTAGGCCTACTGCCCCCAACGGCTCGATTTTAATGACACGTGTGCCTAGCTTTGTACACCTTAAATCTGGAATCTGAATGACTATCAGGGGTGGTGCCAGCAGGGGAGCAGGGGGATCAAGGCCCCGTCGGAGATAAAAACCAGAATTCGTCGGGTCGTTGGGGAGAAAAAAAATGTATTTTCTACATATTAGTAGACTCCAAAATCGATAGCCTTTGAAAACCCTTAAATTGTCATATTTTTCGGGGTCTGCGCCCCCTCTGGAACACTTTTGAGAGAATTTGAGCGACGACCGACCATGCCCATTTTTTTCCGTCTTGGACATCCCCCCTTCGGGTACTTTGAACCCCTCGTCGTGCAAATCCTGGCTCGACCACAGATGACTACGCTCTATAAGGGACAGCGATGACCACTTTAGTACTACTACTGTAGTTCATTTAGTGTTTTGGATTACATGATTTCTGAATCAATCATAAAGAGCAAAAAGAAGCGCAGTTTCAAAATGACACCATGTTATTTTTGTAATCATGCATAGGTACCCGAATAAGTGTAACTGATTTATTCTCACCACTTACAAATTACGAGATTTAGTTCATGTCATGTTAAAAGTTTATTATATAAACCAAATGATAACTTCAGCTATGTTACAAAGCTGAAACATCATTAATTCGCTAACCAATAACAATCAGAAACACACACACAAAAACTCAAATAAAAAGGCAGTTATATTCAAGTTATGTAAACATTATAAATTTTTAGGTTGTTCAGTGTTCGTCGAATTTTAAGATTGGCGTTAAGATATTTAAGCCTATTATTTAGTGTTTTGCAATAAAAGATTCATTATTACTTATAATTAGGTAGTGAGCATTTGAAAAATATTTGTGATGAAGAATGCTAGGACCAGATTCGAATCGTGCCTACTTCGGTGTCGAGATTCTGAATTGGTGTCGAGCATTTTAAAAACACTTGCGGTGGACAATGCTAGGACCAGATTCATCGTACTCTTGTTTACTGATCCACATCTGTTGGAATGTTGAGAGGGAGGCTAGGATTGAGCCTCCTATCCAAACGGAATACTTCCTCTCCGGTGGAGCAATGATCTTGATCTTCATGGTACTCGGAGCCAATGCTGCGATCTCCTTCTGCATCCTATCAGCTATCCCAGGGAACATCGTGCTTCCACCTGACAGCACTGTGTTCGCGTACAGATCTTTACGGATATCAACATCACATTTCATTATACTGTTGTACGATGTTTCGTGTATTCCACTCGACTCCATTCCTTTTCAAAGACAAATTAGAATCGTAGGAAGGTGGCCGGAAGAATTTAGAGAAATTTGGAATGTAGGAAGGGATAAACAATTTATGCAAAAATTAAAACAACATAAAAGGTGAGCTCATGTTGGAGAAAAAAATCAAATTAGGGCCAAATGTCATGGCAGAAGTTAAACAAAATGATCACAGAAGCAACAATACAGAGAGAGATACACAAAACAACCTCAAAGATAACACCTACAGTAATTGCTATTAAATTTAAAAGGATAAATTATTAACTTTCAGTGAGAAACAGATTTAAACAATTCAGTTTCATATGAGTTTCAGATGTACGTTGAACTACAACAAAAACTGATTAAAACCAATTATCTATAGATATTAATTGAATTGAAATTTTAAATAACGGCGTACTGCATACTCTCTTACAAAGTAAGCAATTTTACTTTAAATATTTTTATATTCGACAGACAGTATACTATAATTATTGTATAATCAGAAGCAATCATGTACGACACCTACCAATGAAAGAGGGCTGAAATAATGTCTCAGAACATCTGAATCTCTCATTGCCAATGGTGATGACTTGTCCATCTGGGAGTTCATAGCTTTTCTCTAGTTGTGAACTAGTAGCTGCAGTGGCCATCTCTTGCTCAAAATCCAATGCCACGTAGCATAGCTTCTCTTTTATGTCCCGTACTATTTCTCGTTCAGCTGATGGCAAATAAGACCAGTTAGGCCTGTTAAAAATGCTTTCCTAGCTTTACAATACTATATCCTTTTATTAAAAGTAATTGTCTTATCTCTGAAATGAAGCCATTTTATTTACTAAATTCCAATTTTTTTTTACTAAATTCTATTTTCAGACATTTTAACTGTATCTTCTACAGGCGAAATTTCCTCTTTTTAATGTATTGTTCACGATTTCATTAAAAAATACACTGTTGTATTATGATAGGCTACCGTGTGCGCTATTAATGATGGTAGTAATTATATTAATTTTGTAGTTCAAGGTGGAGGATAAAAATTAAACATACTGTACATAGCTAGAATAGGAGATGGTACGTCACATATCCTCCAGATGGAATGGCCATTGGTCCCGTGTGCATGAAAATGAACTCGGTGCACTATTTAAAAAGAGTAGAGGATCTTCTACTGATGGACCCCACAGGACATGCTGCACTGCGACCCAGTTGTGGCTTCCCATATCATATGTCAATATATTTATATTTAAAACACGGTACCTGTTGTAGTAAATGAGTATCCCCTCTCTGTGAGTATCTTCATAAGGTAGTCTGTCAAATCACGTCCAGCCAAATCCAATCTAATGATTGCATGTGGTAGAGCATAGCCTTCGTATATTGGTACCGTGTGGGTGACGCCATCCCCTGAATCTAGCACAATGCCTGTAGTCCTCCCTGAAGCATATAGAGACAATACCGCTTGAATGGCAACGTACATTGCTGGGCTGTTGAATGTTTCAAACATTATCTGAAAGATAATAAATACATATTCATTCAAAAGGTTTTTATCCAAGCCTAGTCAAAAAATAATATTGAATAAAAATGTGTACAATTAATTGTATATACAGTACATACATAATGATATGGTAGAGAAAAACACTCCATCTATAGACGAATATCATCTTGCTTCTTTTGAAATTCATCACAGGATTCAGTTCACTCGGCATTTTATCAAACTTATTTAATCATTCTGTTATTTGAAAATTCTATAATGGATATAAAAACTATCTAATTTACAAAAAAATATGGGATTTGATTATAATCGAAACCCTTACTGTTATCAGGGAACAGTTATTAATCCTGCTGTTATCAAAAGAACTAATGGTCAGATTAGAGGCATAAAAGGCCGAAATTAAATAATATGGTGAATTATATATTTTCTCAGAACCCGAGTTCCCGGAAGTGTACCTGAGTCATTTTCTCTCTGTTCGCTTTAGGATTGAGCGGTGCCTCAGTCAACAATGCCGGGTGTTCCTCCGGTGCAACTCTTAGCTCATTGTAGAACGTATGGTGCCAAATTTTTTCCATGTCATCCCAGTTAGTTACTATGCCATGTTCGATGGGGTACTTGAGTGTCAAAATACCTCGTTTACTCTGAGCTTCATCACCAACATAGCTGTCTTTTTGACCCATCCCAACCATTACTCCCTGCAATCATAAAGTTTAAGCTGTTGGTAACTAGATCTATATCAACAAAACTACGCAATTAACGATAATGTAATAAATAATATTATTATAATATTAATAAGTATCTTAAAAGAGTAACACAAACACTAATGTGTGTAATAATTATAAATAAATATAACAGTGAATAATAATATTAATAAGCTATTTGCAACACATTTTAAATATTTAGATTTTCTACACAGTTGTAGTTAGAATATACTGTAGTATCAATACCATTGTTATCTTTTTATTATCAACGATCATTAAGATATCATCGTCACTGTCATCATCATCATTATTGTTAAAGTTGTTGTCAACCACGTCATCATTACATCTTAATCCTCCTAATTAATAATAATTCAAACCAATTATAGACACAATTTTACTAGAATACACATGAATATACAAAGGAAAAATATTTTAGAAATATTATGGTAGTATTAATAGTAAATAGTAATAGTAGTATATAATTTACCTGGTGTCGTGGTCTGCCAACGATTGAAGGAAACACAGCCCTTGGAGCATCGTCACCGGCAAATCCAGCTTTGCACATCCCCGATCCATTGTCTATTACCAAAGCAGCAATGTCCTCATCGCACATGTTGTGGAATGGTGTTAAATGCTACCCAAAATGTATATAGAAAGACTAAAATTAGCAATTTTTAGGTTGTGTCTATGCCTAGATTATACCCTTCTTGCACATTTAAACGGGTCATAAATTTTATGGGTTTTGTTGATAAAGTTGAAGTTCTAGATTGTATATTTCACTAAGCTTATCAATGTTAAATGTTAGCAAAACAAGGCCTAGAGAAAGAAAAAAATAAGCCGCTACTCTGGTCTCCAGTCTATTCTCAAGCTAGAGTCTAGACTTTTTGCATTCGCGGACCCTCAAGACATTTTAAACGTCTCAACAGACCATTTAAGCATAGTCATTACATTCCAACAATACGATTCTATAGATAGAAGAGGATTCGCCAGGAAAGTACATTAAAGAGTGGCAGATTCTTTTATCCCCATTTTATTTTTAACTTCCTTCCTGATTTTTTAAATTTATTCAATAGCCTGTTTAAAAAAATGCAAGAGAACAGTCAAGATATGCATTACCTGAGAGGATGCCACTATCAAGTGGCTCTCTCTGAGTCATAGGCTATACTAAACATCTTTACATAGGCCTAGGCCCTAGGCCTAAAGCATACATAAAAGCAATAATATAAACGATTATAAATAACACCTAACAGATCACCAACAATAAAGTATTGAAAAAATATAATGTATAAATATAATATATTTTATTTTTAAATTATTGATAAGGCACCTAGGCCTAGGCTAGGTCTAATAAAGATGATATCACAATAATGACAGTTGTATTGTAAGACAATACAAGTAGGCCTAGCATAGGCCTAGGCCTAATCTCGCCTAGCATGAAACTTTTTTTTTATGATGAACCCCCAATTTTTTTGCCTACGCCTAGTTATTCATCATACTCTATTATTACAACAATACTGATTGTTGTATTTGTATGGTGAATTTTGCTTGAGACAAATAAAAAAAAATCTTACTTTTATAGGCTATTTGTTGTGACAAAGATCGCGAAGAAAATGACACTTGCCGCCAGAATTATGTTCAAATACGTATGCGCGTCTCTTTTCTTTTACAAACACGCAATGCGCAATATCATAAAAATTAATACTAAATATGGTAATGATCCTGATCAGCATTTTCATTGGCGAAAAGTATCTCACAAGCGCTACCCTGGATAGTCTGAACACGCCCACCCACGTGTACGTGTGCGTACAGCATCATTTTAACTTTTGGACCCTGTCGCCAATTCCGAAAACTTGGCCAAAACCACTTTGGGACCTGAAAATTTGGGGTGGTCTCAGGTTTCGGTCTCCAATTACTATTAGAGGATTATAGCTTGTGTTGAAAATCGGACTGAGGCTATTTTGTTCTTTGAAAAAGTGGTCTCGAATAGAGAGGGGTATTTGGAGGGTGCACTGTGTGTATGATTCATGTTCTTTAACCCTAAAAAAGCCAAGGCCGTGTTTCCGGAGCACCTTCACAAACCCGAATATTCAAACTTTATTTAAAAATTGCACTGTACAGAGAATTATCGAAAAACAGCCATTATTTTTAACTCGTTCAATCTGAATTTAGGATTGGGTTTAATTTTTTTTATGAGACTGGCAACTCTACGACGTCCTAATTTTCCATCCAAGGCCTTTCATGTTGTTTTGTCAGTTAAACTTAAAAAAGAAAAGTAAGGTTACTATATTAATTCAGAGCTTGTATAATTTTACTTTATATTGTGAGAATATTTGTACCAAATATACCAGGCTGTAGTTAATATTTTTTTAACATTTTATCGTTTCAGCGGTAGAAATCGAGCTAGGCCCAACCAGGAGAAGACCTAAAATTTCCAGGCTGGTGGTGGTACAGTGTTCATCATACTGACTAGCCTAGACTAGGCCTAGTAAGGCCTAGCTAGAGTAGTAGAAGGAGGTAGTTGTTGGTACGGGGAGTTGTAACAACTCTTTGGTTGGTAGAAGACAGGACCCGAGACAAGGAAGAGAGTTGCACTAGGCCTAGTTAGGCTACATAACGACACCCTATGGTCAGGTGGTATAAATGCACTTCAGTATGAAGCGAGTGATAGTACAAAAGAATGGAACAACTGGAAATGGAAAGGTAGGTAGGCGCTAGGCCTAAATCATTTTGCTTTACTAACCTATTTGATCAATAATGCAAATTTAGCCTAGGCCTAGTCCCAAGGCAGCGGCCTAGACATAAGGCCCTAGGCAGCGGCCTAGACATAAAGCCTTGCTAGTATTTGAAAGGCTTAGGGTAGGGTCCAAAAATCAACACCAAAAAAATTGTTAAGGTGTTGATATCTAGGCCTATTTTAACGTTTTGTTTATCTACTTAGGCAAGACTTTTTTATACCTTGTTTTGGGAACTTATGTTTTTAAAGATCTTCAGAGGAGAGCGGGAAAAAAAATAAGTATAAAATTTTGTTTTTTTATTTAGCAAAAAATTTTTCCAGAAAAATCCACACGGAGGAGTAAATAAAAATAAAACTTTATTGTAAATTTAAACAGTGTAGTAATATAATTGGATGGTTAAATGCTTTAACTTTATATAATTCAAAGAAGAAATATACATAGTTTATTTTTAGAGATTTCAAGGCAGCAGTGGGCATAATATTTTAAGAAATAAAGAAAAACTTTTAGTTTTTTTCAGTTGGCTAAAAATGAAATTTTTTTTTATTTTAAATCATTATTGGTGGGTGGTGGGTACGCTAAACAAGATATAAAAAAAGTCTTGCCTTAACCACATACTGTGATGCGTCTCTGATTAAATATTCTTGAAAATATTTTAATTTTTTTTATAATGTATTTTGCTTTCTTTTAGTTAATATTTCTTGCGGAGAGTTTGGAGATGTTTCTGCATGAGGCAAACAGGGTTCTTAACATGTCCAGTACAATTGTCTACACAGAAAAAGGAGGGGTCGTTGAAGATATTAGAGTAATTAGGTAATTGGATCTTTTTATTTATGTTATTCTGTACTGTGTTCATAATTCTTATTTTTGGTAATAATATGCTTATAATTTTAGTCTGATGGTCACATTCGCTTTCAAATAACCCTCATTCATTTACCTGTTGAAATTGAGAACATCAAGGACTTACTCTAACTGGTTTTGTATTCAAGTATGGAGTCTCAAAGTGAAGCTTTGTCAATATAGTGTACAGATACAGATAAACTTTATTCCATCCTTTTCACAGGGAAATTACAAGGTCACAATGACGTTCTCATTTCTCAAAACATAATAGAATTTTTTTAATTTATTTCTTATTTTTAATTACAAGTTTAATTAAAATTCAAGAATTTAGTTTCCATAAATATTAAATTCTAATTGTATGTGCCTAGCTTTGAAGATTAGGGCTCTAGCATGAACCCTTGCTGACTGCATTCTACCATTTATTCTGTTCAATAAAAAACTGAATTTTTAATTCTGTTCAATAAAACTAGCAACAATTACAGAGTGGAAATGATGAGAGGGATCTTTTAGAATCCTACCAAACTTCAAAGCCACCCTCTCACTGTAGACAGAGCCCACCAAAGGTACAAACTGGACCACTATTCATTCCGCAATATTGAAGATACGGTTAAGCCTAATCATATCTCTTCCCCACCCCCTGAATATTTCCTCCCCAGCACTCTAAACAATAGCTCAAGGCACCAAAAATAATGGAATTATAGGAAGTGACTAAAGCCCCTTTCAGACAAAAAATACCGCAATAATACCCTAATCACGCCGCCGTTATTGCCTGCGCAGACCTTTTCACACAGCTAGTTAAAATACGGTAATAATACCGAATCCTGTCTGAAAGGGTTCTCGCGGAAAGGAGTATTTGATATCTGTGCCGCTTGTGCTTGTTAACAAAGAGGGCGCAAGTTTTTGTTTACTCCATTAATCCAATATGGCCGGGGATGAAGTAATAAAACTGCTGCTTTGCAAATGTTTTTTAATGCTTGCTATGTTTGCAATACATATAAATTGAGAAACAGAAGGTTTCTAATGCGTTTCGTTCAAGCGAAGAGAGAATTTAGGAAGCGTTTAAGGCAAGGCCGGCTTGAATTTTGAGCAGCTAGGTGCAGGCGATTTTCGCGTCTAAAAGAATCATCAGCTAGCGATTTCATCGGCTTTGTTAGCTGCAGCAGCGGATGATGGCTGCTTGTGTGACCGTCTGATTTGTTATGCCTCAGTGCATAGGACGGTGATGAACCCTGTACCCTTTCACATCGAGTTGGGCAAAACTTTTTTAAGACTAGGTCCCGAGGAGGTCTAACTGATGCCGGTGTTTAGGCGTATTTACTCTTTCACATAGAACGCCGGCGTTCGAGTAATACGGTATTAATACCGTTTTGCAGGTCTGTCTAAAAGGGGTATAAGTTACCTTTATCAATGCTAAAAGATTACGCAGACAGTACTTCCAAGCAGTGGCACCGATTGGCCGGGGCTTACAGGGCAAGAGCTCTGGGGGGCGACGGGGCCAAATGCTAGGTAAAAAGTAATTAAATAAATAAATGAAAATTAATAAACATACATTCATCCAGTATCCTTCAGGTATTTTTCGTTTCATTTCGTTTTATTCGGCAGTGCATTAAAATATATAGTACAAAAAATATCTAAGTAGAAAGATACAATAGCAAAAATGTCATAAGTTGTAAAAAATACTGTACTTCATCAAAAATAAATTTGAGTTACCTTGAACATCATATACCACATAAAAAATTGATATTAACAAACAAAAAACAGATATTAATGCCAGGATAACCTGTGAACTTGTTTCCAGCGGGGTCCTAAAATATCACATAGAAACAATAACGGAGACAGACAAAAGTAGTAGTATATGATGTACAAGATAAAACCATAAAAAAAAATTTTAAAAAAATTAAATAAAAAGGAGGACCTACAGTACCAGCGAAGCTGCCCTTGGGCCCACAGCAGCTCTCGGCGGCCCTGCATCTAAGAGTTCAGTTGTTTGATTTGAACAGTTGAATGCTGAACCCCAGGCTCATTATCAGTCAGTATCACCGCAATTTCCCTTCTTATGAAAATCAACAACAATCTCTTGATCTTTCTATGTGGATAGGAGAAGATCTACACAAAAGGAAGAAATTTTTAAGCCTTTGCTGTTACCACATGTTTTGTTTTCAACAATGTAAATATTGAATATTTCAATCTTGTTTTTCAATTGAATGTTTCAATATTTTTTTGCATTCAGAGATGATGAAGTACTGTATTTGTCAGAAGGAGAACCATTTGTCGGTAAGTTAATGTACTCAGAGGCTGAAATAAGCTAAAATTTTACACGGAAAGCATATTAAAATGTTACAAAGACTTTCTGATATACTTCTACTCAAATAACCATCATCTTCATGCGATTGATTAAAACCTTGCCAAAAATGTATGTGCCATTGTTGCACAGATGCTGAAGGTTAAGTGCTACATCACAGTCAAAGATAAGCGGTAACCTGTGAGCATGCTCAGTGATGAATGCAAAAAATCTCTGTAGTATTATTACTGGCCCTTGCAATGTGTATTTTTTTTTTTTCACATGAGGTAGATATTATATGGGATGTGTGCTAATCCTAAACTGTTGGGCATTCAAAAGGATGCAATGTAACAAGGCACATCCCTCGCACAGGACAGAAGTATACATTTTTTCTGTGAATGGTAGTGATAATATAGATTATAATGATGTTATTAAAAATTGTAGTTATTATTTAAACCAAGGTGCTACATGTTTTGTTCTCATTAATAATTTATTATTATATAAAGGACTTAAAAAATAATAATCTGGTTCTATAGCACAGTGTATTTCAGAATGTTACCAACTGTTATTCAGTTGCCCATGTTCCTCACATTTGAGACACCTTCTTTAGAAGAAGCTGACACCAAAGCTTTCCTTTTTAAGTCGGTGCTAAATCTAGAAGAGAAAAATACCATAGGAATTATTTAAACTTGTATGTTGTTTGACAGATCCTAAGTATGCTGTTGCAACAAGGCCTTTAGTAAATAAGTGCAATGCTGATGACTCAAACATGTCTCACGACCAGAATGACTGGGTCTCTCTCAATGTTGGTGGCAAGAGGTTCACAACAACAAGGTATGGATTACTTCACTGTATTATTGTTGGGCCTAGTTCTTTGAGTGGTTCATTTAGAAGTAACAAAAGTCGTTTTGCTCCATTATTTTCCCTGACCCGTCCTTTGTTTTAATCCAGAATTCGGTAACTGATTTAGCATGACTTAATCATCACAATAAAAACTCCAGATGACATACTTAAAATTATGAATAACGAACAATTACTGCCTGGGTTGATTTAACAAAGGCCTTGTATTCTTTTAATTCAATATTTAGTTTGCTCACTTTGAATATTAACAGTAAGTAATAACTTTCTATTGAAAATTATAGTTTCTGTATTCTTTGCATTGGTTATTACAATTACATTTGCTAGTAATCAATTTAAGAATTATTGTAGTGAAAGATCTGTAGATTGCAAAAACGTTTTTTTTTTTTAATCTATCATTCAAATTGATAGAATTTGAATTACAAACTTGATGACAAACAGTATATCTTATCTGTGCTGACGTTAGCAATTTGTTGACATCAATAATACTTAATAGCCAGAATAGCTATAGAATATGTTAATTGTAACCTTCCATTTTGTTATTATTATCAACTCAAAAATATTTAATCCTGACATAAATTTGTACAGTTATACAATCACAGAATCTGCCAAGTAAATACGTAGTTGAAACAATGACACTCTATTTCTTCCTCTTTTTTTTTTCAAACTATGTTTATATTTCATCTGTGTTAATACCAGCTTTAGGAACATGTCATTTGGCCCACTTTGTGTCTTACAGAATTTGAAAGTAAGGAAGTTGGGAGTGGGAAAGATGTCATAGTCCTTGCTTGGCTTAGTGAGAATGTCTATTTTGTTGACATTTTTTTTGCCTACCATATTTTTTCAAAGTCAAAAGAAAGAACATTCATCCACATGGTTGTTTTGTAATTCATTAATGAATTATTCATGATTCATCACATTCTAACCCAGCACATGTTGCAGTAATGAGACAGCGCCCTCAAGCCTTTCAATTTACTTTTAATCCACAGTCATTGGGCAACTTGCCCAAGACAAATATACTATCCTGAAAAAGAGGTCTCAAGAGGCTGTGATTATATTAATACTACATTAAAAAGGCAAGAATTTCATCAGAATATTTGATTCCTGGTTTATAGAACAACCAATATATTTAGGCTAACATCCATCCAAAGCTACTCTACAAGAACAGAACTGATACACATTAAAATGATCAATTCATAATATTATTGCCAAATTGGACTCATCAGTTACATAACTAATTTAATTACATGGAGTTATGAATATTAATTTATCTATTATAAACCTATATTTGTTATGAATGTTCCTCAAAAGGCACACTGGAATAATATTTGATATTTACTTAGCATTCAATGCAATAATAACTTAATATTTGATATTTACTTAGCATTCAATGCAATAATAACTTAATATTTGATATTTACTTAGCATTCAATGCAATAATAACTTAATATTTGATATTTACTTAGCATTCAATGCAATAATAACTTTATATTTGATATTTACTTAGCATTCAATGCAATAATAACTTTATATTTGATATTTACTTAGCATTCAATGCAATAATAACTTTGTATTTGATATTTACTTAGCATTCAATGCAATAATAACTTAATATTTGATATTTACTTAGCATTCAATGCAATAAAGTGTGTCACTAAGACGTGGTACATAGTAATGGCCATTATATCCACTTTTAGTTCCGCGGAGAGCAAAAATGCAGCCGAATATGCTGCAAGTGAAATAAATGTTTTAGATTTGGCCGTTTAAGCTATCGAAGAGATGCATCATGATGGTGGTTTCAACCGCTTTCTACTTATTTGTAGTTCGTTGGCCAGTAACCGAACACCGACAGTAATTACCAACCCACCATAATTTCATAGGCTGCTAAATGCTAGTTATTTACCCTATTATCTTACTAAAGAGGAAGAACATTTAAAATTTTAGGCTCAAATGAAGTGCCTCCCATTTTATCCCATTTGTCTTGAAGATTGTCATGGAATCATTTAAAGCAAATAAACTGATTTATCTAATCCATAGCACATACAATACTATTTAACTACTACATGTTAAAATGGCCACTGAGTAGCTTTTCCACATCTTGCATTAATCTTGTAACCACTTAATACAGTTAGTGGTTGGTAGATATTATTTGTCAATCCTCACCTACCCATGTTTCCAAAATAGTTGACACATCACCTTGAAGATGTTATTATACCCTTTAGGGTACAAATTACTCTTTCAATGCTATAGTCATAGCATGTTAGCAAATAGTTCAAATCTTGTACAATCTCTACCCACTACCATTAATTCATGAAATGAATATCAATCTTCAATCTTAATAATAAATGCTTGTGTTACACCATGTAGACATTTTTGAAAAAAAACTGTTATTTTTGTTGAGTGCCAGGATATTTTTATTAAGTTACGTCAGTTGTCAAGTTTTAGATTTTGCTGTTTAAGCCATCAAAGAGATGCAGCGTTATTACATTTATACTCACATTCATTCATTTCAAATATTAATATCTATACATATAACATAGATACTTGAAAATATCTGACTACTCTATATAAATATCAGGAACTAGCATGTCATTAAGATGATCATTAACTTATAATAGGGTTTAGGGAGATTTTAAATTATGATAATGAAAGATGATTAATATGCATGCGATTTTGTATTCCTATAGATTCACTATCTGGCACTGAAGAACAAGCTGATATGGGAGCATTTGACTGTTCCCATTTGCAGCACCATCATCACCATGGAATTGCCCATCAACAACAGTACATAGAAGCCCGATCAGACATGATAAAAACCACTATAAGTGAAAGTGCACCAAATGAATATAGATCAACAGAAATCACCACTAAACCACTTACCAAGATGTTCACAAGTACGTCCACGCTACCTGTTCCTAATGTACCGCAAGTTCAGCTGGTCACACCTGTGACGGTAGCTGAGCAGGAACCAGCTGTATCAAACGCAGACATAAAGAACATTTGGAGGAAAGAGTTCTACCACTCGACGGACATGTCAAAGACTTACGATGATTATGAACACATGAGAGAAGAGAAGTACCAACCAAACACGGAGAAGATGGCAGGCTATCGAAGTGAGAGTGAACCCTCTGCCATCCCCGATACCTGCTGTCTTGTGAATGAGGACGTGAATGATGCAGCGCTTTCTCATGAGTGCGAGGAGCAGCAGCAGTTAGAGAAACAAGAAAGTTTGAAGGAAACTTGTATTGAGGCTCCATCGCATCATGAGCTAGAAATACTGATTTTGCAAACGAAACTGGAAAACGAAAGACGAGAACACAAACTTCGCATACAACTTCTTCGGCAGCAACTTCAGTACTGGAAGAAGAAAACTATGAGTCAAAAAATTAAAGATTAGTTTTAACAAGTAGCAACTATGATGGGGGAATGTTAGGGGTAGAGAATGTCTGACCAAGCGGGGGCGAATCTAGAATTTTTGACCTAGAGGCCTAGATGTAATATATTTATGCAGATTAATATTTATCCAATAATGGTATATTGCTTACGTTGAGTGATTGCTTACCTTTGTTAAAAAATAAGACGGCAGTGACAAAACCGGGGTGCATATTTCTCCATGCCCCTCCCTTAATCCACCCCTGCCATGGCCAAGATTTCTTAATTTCTATATTGAAGTGTAAATATGAAGCCTACCGTATTTATATATTTTGTAAAGCTATTTTGATTTCATTCACATCTATCCATTGTCAAGCTGATTGAGTGAAATTTAATGAATTGTGTATTTTGGTGCTCTGTACATATAGTTTGTCTTTGATTATATTAGTAATAATGCTGTATATGTAGTGCATTACACTCTCAGTGTGCTTTATATTAACATTAAAAACTAGGAGAAATTAAATACAATTAAATTCATCAATTAGTGGCTAGAAATATGTGATGATCTGTGTGCTAAAGCCTAATTCACAATGCATCAGCCAAAACTAATCTCCCAGCACTCTCTCCCGATCCAACGCCGGTTCACTGGCATTGGCGGTCAGAGCAGACCGTTGCTGAAAACCGTCCTTCACGAACATGCAATCGCATTGGGGGTCTCACGGAATTGCAAGATCTCTAGGCCAATGATGTACTTCAGGCTTAGGTTAATACTCTATAACGTGGTTGCCAAATAAAGGGTAGATTGCCTACATAGCATTCTCATTACAGGGATTACATTTACATTGCTTAGACTACTATAGCTGCAAACTGATCAGCCCAACTGCATCATGACCACTGCCATGTATATTTTTCCAATGCAATATTTGTAAAGAACCGGCTGGTGCCCTATTCAGAGATGCTTAAGAATAGACTTAGCTGTCGTAATATATATATCATTGTGTGATAGAAAACATTAAAAATATGATTTACCTTGTGAACATAAATAAATTATTAGTTTTTAATTGAAAATTAGAATGAAAAATATATTTCTCGAATAGTTAACAGATGTATTGTAAGTATTAGAAAGCTTCTGTATTGTCCCTTAAATTGGCTGGTCATCAGTTTGAAGATTTTGTAGTAAAACATCTGTATATCTAGGAAAACTGATTTATTTTCAAATGGAGAGAGATAATAAGTCTTATTTGTACAGATATCTTGTAAAAAGATAGTGGCCTTTTTACAAACTATACTTAAATCATCATCATAATGCTATAAATATACTGTAGCTTATAAACAAGCAGAAATTGTCATGTCATTAGGGACTTGTATTGATTAATTTTTAAACATTCCTAAGAATAGGCCTATATTTCAGTTCATTTCCTAAACTTCCTGTATGAAGTGTTATGGTCTGGTGGATCCTGCATATCACTAATGCAAATAAACAAAGGGAAAACTAGATTTGATTATGCTTCATTATTACGGTAGTATTAGTTTGTGTGAAGTAGTATTTCTTTGTCTTTTTAGTATTAAGTGAAATATTTAGTGCTTCAAGATATGCTTATTGAGGTGGTATATCAAGAATATATTTTTATTGAGTCGTATAGAAGTCTCCAATTGATACCTTAGAGCCATCTTAATACTCCTGTGTATGTTGACATTTCCACATAATCGCATAATAATAGTAGGATTGGAAAAAAAATTTTGTACATTCTATTGGATCAACATATAAATGAGGCTTTATGCTGCAGTGAATTTTGAGGTCTTAGAAAAGAAGACGTAAGACATTATTGATGATGTCGTTAGCTTCAAATAAAAACATATTGTGAGCAAAACATTCACAAATTAGTCATTGACATCCAGTTTATTCACATTTTTTTTTCTTTTTCTGAAAATGTAGTTATATGTTATTGATTGAATTAAAAGTACACTGGTCTTGAATCTAAAAGACGTGCTATTTATATCAAAATCAATGATATTGCTAAAATCAGTATCAATAATGTTTTAATAATATCTTAATTATATAGCTCACTACATATTTACAACTTCTCTTATTACCTGGTATGTATGTAGATTATGCAGCTGCAATTTATTAATAACCATCTACCCTTATAAAACTTCCAAGGCGCCAACAAGGCACCAGAGTTTATCCTCCGCTACCCATGAAAAAAAAAGACCATGAGGTAGGAAGAAACACAGCTGGTGGCAAAAAATGCAAAGTCTGTGTTTTAGCACTAAACAAAGTGCAAAAAAACCCATCCAACCCCACTTGAATCAAACCTTATGTTCCCTGGTTCTACTGACAAAGCATTTAAGAACGCCAAGAACACCGTCTTAATGGAAAGGTGAAGCCAAGGTGCTGAGTGTAGAAGCTCAAAGAAAAGGTGCCTCCGAGACCCATTGGAGCACAATATTAACATCCCATTTTCGGTGGCAGAACCTTTGAAGGGGTAAATCGTGAAACATACCGCACAAAAAAAGTGACAACGTGCTGGAAGGTGTTACGTTTGATCCATCAGGGAAAGGTTTGATCCATCAGGGAAAGGTTTGATCCATCAGGGAAAGCCGGTGCAACAACGCATGCCTCTGTTTGACAGCCTATTGTCTTCACCCAGGAGTACATAGGATAGAATAATCCACCATGGACTCCCATATACTTGTGATGCATACCCTTGTATTTCTCCTCCAAATTCTAGTTACTTTTGTTTTACTCCACTTTATATTAAACATTCTTCATCCTCCCAAAGAAAATTGGAAGAATCATTAATATGTAGACAGATGTTGTAGACAATAATTTCTTTTATCACTGATAAATTTAATTGGAATATATTTTAAAGCTCTGTAATTAGAATTAAGAGGCTGGTGAAGATAATACCATATTTATACAAAAATCAATATTATCAACCTCTCTTGTTTTTTGGTTTTTTTTCTTGTAGGAGTACACTCATTGGAAGGGAGCCCTCAAGCATGTTGGCCAGGATGTTCTCCGGAAATAGTAAGTGTATTTCTCTGAGTTTTTTTTTTCATATTATTTTATTCCAGTTGGTATTTTTTCATCAATGATTTTTAATCAGGACCTTTTAGTTAAATTAGATTAAATGTGGCAAAGACCAGCCAAACCATTCACTTGTTGCAAATCCTGTTTCAGAGATAATGGCCAAAACATGCTGGAATGTCAACATTTTTAAAATCTATTTTATTACACTAAACTAATCTGTATATATCTATATATTATACTATGCTGTTATTTTCCCAATATTCAATGTTAAAACAACAATTTTTTAACGAGTTGGTAATGGTTTCTGCCTAAGAAATTGCCCAAAATCATAAACTTTAAAGGCTGATTTCTCAAACATTGTTCTTTAAACAGCTGTATGTTTAAACTTCTGTAACTTCATAAAAAATGGCAGATTTGAATGATTCTTTTACCAATTTTTAGCTCTCATTTTACTTTTTAACTATGTATTAATAACTAAAAATCAATTTTTGTGATGAATGACTGGTTTGGCTTGTCTTTGCCACAAATGTGTTAAGTCTGCTTAATTACTGTAGACATTTTTTATATTTTATATAATTTGGCCTACTTGTTACTGCTGAATTTGGAATTCTGTACTTTATGTAATTTTACAATCCTGCTATTTAAATTATCCCTTTTGGTTTTCATGAGGGTTGCAATTTGTGACCTGTTTCTTTTATGCTTTATGCGCGATACTTTGGTAAATGAAAAATTCTTGAATTAAAATATTTGAAGCTACAAGGCATTATGAATTGGTGTTACCTAGTGAATCTTAAATTACTTTCACATCTAGAATATCCTTGGTGCAGTGTTAAAGCCTTTGAAGCAGCAGGGAATTATGAATCAGTTTTTACTTTGTGAACTATTTTCTTGGTGTAGTGTTATAGCCTTTGATACAGCAGGGAATTTAACATTTGTTTTGTTGAGCACTCTATTGTGATAGTACCATTGCTGTTTTGCATTTAGCTGGCCCACTACTATATGTAGATTATGAATCAGTTTTTACTTGTGAATTATTTTCATGTCCAGAATATCCTTGGTGTAGTGCAGTAGACTCTGAAGCAGCATTTCTTATTGACAGATCCCCAAAATACTTTGAACCTATTCTCAATTACCTGAGGCATGGTCAACTTATTCTTGATGCTGATATATCTCCAAGAGGTAAGTGATTGTCTCAATCCCAGGTTAATTTTAGATATTGAAAAACTCAATCTATGAATGTAAATCCCTGAATTGTACTTAAAGTACAACGTACTTTAAATTAGTTATATTAATATCCCAGTCAATTTAATTACTATATGAATTGATTTCTGTACACATATGGGAAATTATATATAAGATGCAGTTTAAATGCACTTTGCCACATTATTATGGCAATTATTAATGTCACATTATTCAAGATTTCTTTCATGTTTTAACTTTGTTGCAAAGTTAAGGAAAGTGATAAAAATATTTGGTTAGTTTATTTTGGCACAGTAAACAATTACTGTATTTATTCGAATAATTGCCCTGCTTTGAATAAACGCTCCTCGGATTAAAGCCTCATCTAGAGTCTCATTTAGAATAAATACCTCCCTCGAATAAATGCACCAGGCATTTTTTTTTCTCCTGCAATAAACACCCCCCCCCCCCAAATGACTAAACACATCTAATGGAAGCAACATCATTCTTAACACATTCTATTAATGTTCTGCTCATGTTTCCTAACCTGGTTAGGATCAATAAGTCTTTATGGTTATGCAATAACACATTTTGACGATAATTATGTGTTGTAGTTCCAAATTTACAGTGAAATTAAGGGGCGTTTATTTGAGTATATGCATATCAATTTTACCCCCCCCCCCCAAAAAAAAATAAACACCTCACTCGAATAATCATCCCTTCAAAAACCCTGTTGCGTTTGTTCAAAACAATACAGTATTAGGAAATCTAAATAGTTTAGATTTTAACATAAACCGACATCTTCCAACAAATAGACTTTGATACATTTCTGCAGCGGAATCATTCAATAGATAGCATATTAATGTAGTAGGCCTGCTACATATTTTCCTTATTGATTTATTGCATCTGAAGAAATGAATAATTATATTTATGAGTTCACAAAATCCAGGGCAGACCTTTTTCCAGTGCGTTCTTCTGGCATATGGTGAATTTACACTGCAAGACAATATCTGTCTCTTCCAAAGAGTGTGCCACATTTTGCACATAAGGTGTATTGTGGACAGAACCAATGGCGTAAATGTCTCTTCCAAAAGACGGCATTATTGTAATTTGTATTTTTGCCCTCTAGCTGAAACACAAAAGAATTTCATCATCAGGTAACTAACAGTTCAACTTCGTAGTACAGTTTGACTAAATTAATCATTCCAACAGGATTAAAGCACAAATATAACTTCTGTTAAAACACATTCATTACTAAATTTCTTGTTTTTGTTTGTAACTGAGACTCAATAATTTGTAATCACATTTTAGTGGTTTTTTTTAAAATACTATTAACAATTTAAATTTTATTATTGTTTTTTATATCAGTATCCAATTTTGTATAAATATGTCGCCATTTCCCCAAATGTAATTTGCCTTTGTGCAATTCTGTTTTTCATCATTTGTGAGTTTATGAATACGCAGATAATAACCATTAAAATGACTTATTTGTTATTCATGATATATTTTTTTTCGATTCTTATCAGTATTTAGGAAAGTTTTGCAGTTGAGCCTGTAAATCAATTTCATTCAATCCTCCATTTGGGGATAAATGCATGTACAGTAATAGGAATTGCATGATTTGTGCGCTCACAGTCCTATTTATCATGTAGACCCCATGGTAACGTATACAGTAATTGGATAAGATTAATCATGGTTTAATGGGCTGGGTATCACATTTTGTTTTATTGCAGAGCAGAAGTTAGATTAAATCAAATTGTGGTACATGTTTAAGATGTGAACAAAATCCAAATGTCAGATTTAATAATGCTAAATAATTAGGTTGCAGCTTATGAAATTGTTCTAAATATAAGGTAAGGAGTTTAAAACCGTCTTATTGTAAGATGGAAATTTTAAGAAAGAGCAGCATACAGTAGCTTGGTCAGCTAACTGCTGGTCGCCACTGTGTTCGCTGAGCGGTGGAAATCCTTTGGGCCCTGGTTCAATTCCATTCGCTTCTCTCCTTGTGTTTCAGACGGAAGGCTGAGATACAAGTATAAAAACAGTGCACCTTCTTTCGGAAGAGCCTTTTAAGCCATTGCTCCTCATGTGCAGTATGGCCCACGTGCATATTAAAGAATGCAGTACACTCTTCAGAAAGATTAGAGAATTGTCCTACAGTAATCATCACCAGAAGTACCCCACAAGGTTGCTGTGTCATAGATTTTAGAGTTATGAACGGTTTATATTCGTTTTTGTTTCACCATTTATCTATAGGAGTACTTGAAGAAGCTAAATTCTATGGTTTACAATCACTCATACACAAATTGGAAGTTATAATCAAAGACAGGGAACCAAAACCTCCACCAGGGGACCACACTCCTATCACACGCAGGGAGTTTGTCAAGATGTTAATGATGTGTCCCTCAAGATCGGAATTACGTTGCCAAGTTAGTATTACAGTCTTTCATATTGGCTTTTTGGGAACATACCATTTATATGATGAATTTGATACTTTTTTGACTAAGTGATACTTCAGAGATTTATTTCATTTTTTAGTAAAACATTTTGTAATATTTCAACCAGGTTGGACGAGCATCAGTGACGGATTCAATGGTGGGGCACCCCCCCCCCCATAATTTCGAAAGTTATAAAAAAAATGGAGAAAAAAAGGAATTATATTCAAATTTAAGCATGGGAGTGCCAACTAGAGGTGCCACAATCATAATTTTTCTTGCCCCAACCATGGTGGGGCTGAGGTGGGTGAACATTCTATCTGTGAAAGTCCCTTTCCAGGCACTGTCCATTTTGAATTTCTAGATCCGCTACTGAGCATGTTAACCACCAAGCTGCGATGTTTTATTGTACTTTATGTTGTCTAAACACAGCTATTATTGATTTCTGAATAATGAAATTTATTGAAGTATATTCTGAAAATAGTTATGTAAAAATTTATAACCTATAATTAAAATAGATGTAAATATTATTTAGATGTCATGTTAACATTAGACTGGTTTAGGAAAGTATAAAAAATGTTAACTTATAATATACAGTACATACTGTACATACATTGTGACTTAACAGGTTCTACATGCTGTCTGTCCCCCCTATCCTTCTCTGTCCCTTTTTCTATCCATTTTTCTGAGGCTTTTCTTCTCTTTAACATTTCACTAATCAATATCTGTCTTCCTCCTTTACCACTTTTATCTTTTATCGACAGTAGTTATTACTCATGCATATTTATGGCCATAAATATTTTAATGAAATTTCGTAGTAAACTAAAGTAAAATTTTCCATGGCCAAATCAAAAGTCTAAATTTATCAATCCATTACTTTAACATTTACCTTGCTAACCTTTGCTAATGATAGTAATGTTTTGATTTTGTACGTTAAAACATTATTGATGCTACGTTCAAATGATTTGTTTCTATTTTTAGCTTGTTCTTGGAATAACTGACAACTTCCTGTTGCTGATCAGATTGACAGTCTCATTACATCATTTCTGACATTCCAATGGCAAACATGTATTAAAATATAGATTAGTAGTGGTTTTAATTTATAGATATATACTGTAATTGTATTGCATAATATTTGATTAGTATTTGAGCTGGTATCCAACTCATTAGAGCAAACCTAAATAGTGATCTCGATGGATGGAAGTTCTTTGGCTTTGTCTTTGTAGACATTAGGCTCCACTCTAGAAAAGACAATACAATATTAAAGCCAATATAATAAAAATAGAACTATCGGCTTTTTAGATGGATCATAATATACTACCTTATTATATTAAGAATCATTAATATTTAATGTAATGCATTATGTGAGCATATTATATGAGCAAAATATTAATTAAAATTTAACATCATTGAATTAAAAATATGGCATATCGACATTAAAAGGTAGACTTAAATAGAAATATATTTATTGTCACATCAGTAAAATGTGAAAATCCTATCCAGGAAAATTGGCATTAGGAGCTGATAGGGTTTGAGCTACCTGAGGGAATGAGATGATTTTTAACTACATGAGTCTGATGTTTTGCTTAGGAAATTTTGAGTAGGTGTGACAACATTTTTGAGGACCCACACATCCTCCCTCCCCCCAAAGTCCTCTATCTATGGCTCAGGAATGATTTACTTAAGTGAATGTGAAAGCATGCAGTATAGGCTCAGATATCAGACAGATGATTGGTATAGCCAAGGATTAAATTGTAATTGTGTTTACAATTCCTATAGGTGATTAATGCGGATATGCATGCCGTAAATGAATACAGTATATTTCAGGCCCAGATTAATCTTATCTTCTAAATTGTTTTTTTTTTTTTTTTTTTTGTAATGGTATTGATACAATGTAACTAATTAAATTACATTGCATATTTGTTCAGAGAAAATTGCTTGTTAATTAAATTGCTCATGTGGGGTTCTTATTCAATTTTCATAACTGCTTATTAAAGAGCTATCCTAATATTAATAATAAGACTTCTAAAGCGCACAAATCCACTAAAGTAGTGCTCAAAGTGCTATCCATCCCTAGGTTGAAGGTTGGTAGCACCAGGATATGCTCTCCCAGCCAAACCATCTGCCAGGAGAAGCTACGCAGCATAGTGATTTGTAGTGGAGACACTGTAGCAGCAGTGTAGCGATGTTGATGAAATCAGGTTTTTGCCTGATTCCAACTTGATTTATAGAGCAGAATTGTTCTTTCCTGTAATTTGTGATTACAGCTTGGTTACAGTTCTAAATATCAGGAGGCCTCTAAATCAACCTACACACTACATTATCCAATCACATGCTGGAGGACTCGAGATGTTGTCTATTTTCAGCAAGTGTAATGTGAATGGGAATTCATTAAATCTTTGACGTGGGACTGTCACTTTAGCCTCATTTTACAATCAGACTGATGAGTAAAACAAATTATATTCTGCCCTTTGATTTATCTTACACTGAGGTTTAATTATCAAGATAATTTGATACGCATACTACCTGTTTGCTACATTCTAACAACTTGATGTTTTGACTTATCTTGAGCCTACTGCTGTCATGCTGCACACATGTTTAAAATGTAAACATACTGAGCCTTTTGTTATGTGATTTTTTTTACAGTCGATCAATCATCATATCGTTATTATTCTTTAATGAAATAGGTTTATAAAGTTTATAAACATCACTCCTGTTAACTTATCCTGAAAATGCAGAGTTGTGTATCAGTATTTAACAAGATGGCTGTCATAGATTCAGCTAATAAAAAAATCCTATGCATTTTCTTTGATTACGCCCAAATTTTTAATATATAGATAATATATATAAATACAACAAGGTTACACTCAGGCCTCCCTGTGTGACAGAGCATACTATTCTTTACAGTGTACTTTATTTTAATTAGTTACTTGACTTAGCCCTTTCTTGCTAAGCTAGGTTAATGATTTTCAATTAATTATTGATGATTGATTAAATGATAATAAATGTTAATTATGGCTGTAATTCATGTGCATGTGCTTAAAAGTTGTGTTCTTCGGCCATATTTTAGACTCATACAAAACTCTGCAATGCTTCATTGAACAGTTAGCACTCCTGTTGTTGTATAATAGCTTTATGAGTTTTATTAATGAAACAGCGATATTATTTGACATCTAAGTGTCCTTGATCTGTGATAATGTAGAATTCTGTTAAAAAATCTGCAATGCAAGGACATAGTTGACCTATTGCCACACCTCTCTTTTGTATTAACTTCTACGTTGTTAAAAGTATAACTTTGTGTGTAAGTCAATGTTAAGAACTTTATTTGTTTCAAACAGAGGGGGTGGGGGGAAAAACTGACCAACAGCATTTGACACTTTCCAGCAAAAGCCAGTCGGATCAAGGGGGAAATCGCTAGTGGTGTGCAGTAGGGATAAGCCAACTAAAATCTAGGGAAACTGTGATTTTGGCTGATGTGAATCTGTTATAAGATATATTATAACATTATCGTTTTGTTTTTTACAGGGTGTAAATTTCTGTGGTGCTGACCTGACAAGACTTGACCTTCGGTTTGTCAACTTTAAGTTAGCTAACTTAAGTGGGGCAAATCTCTCTGGGGCTGATATGTCATTTTGCTCTTTGGAACGTGCAAATTTAGCAGGAGCCATTATGGATGTAAGAAAACATTTGTTACTATTAATTATTATTGTTATTTCACAATTTCTATTTGAATCAAGGCCTCCCACTCATTTTTGGAGAAATGTTCATTCGCTACATTGACGCCACTTTACACACCCATCATAATTTTAGCTTCAGATTGATGATCGTACCAAGTACAGGTATTCTATATTGTTGGTATAGTTATTATTATGCTGATCGTGATCATCATCATCGACAACATCATCGTCATCATCATTATAAACATGTCCAGACTATGTCAATATACCTGTCAATTTTAAAGAGTAAGATTGGGTGACACATAATGAGTGCCGAAGGCACAAACAGTGGCGGAGGGCCAGGTGGCCGCCAAGCGCTCCTGGTCCTGGATAGTGTAAGTTTTGCCGGTGTTTGTGTAAGATCGTAAGATTTGATTGGAATGCGTAAGACTTACGGCAAATATGTAAGGGTTGACAGGTCTGTGTCAGCACCAACATTGTTGAGCTGAATTACAAAAAATTGTGTTATGTATTTCAATTTTGTAAAATTTAGGAGTGCACGTGCTGGCTGGGTCTCCCCCCATCTCTGCTGTTTTTTCCCCTCACATTTGGGTTGTACTTTTTTAATTTTTTGTAAATTTATGTTGTTAAATGCCTCTCAAGAATTTGAAGTGCAATATTTATGAAAATTGACAATTCATTTTATTTTAATGTGAATATTCTTTTTGCTGGTCATGTTCAGGGTGCAAATCTGCAAGGTGTGAAGATGGTGCTAGCAAACTTAGAGGGCGCTTCTCTGAGAGGCTGTAACTTTGAGGATCCATGTGGAGCCAAGACAAATATGGAAGGCAAGTGATGTCATTTTGTGTTTATATATAGTGCTCATATGACATGCTCATAGCACATGCTCATAGCTCATGCTGGTAGCACATCCACTCTATAAGCAAATGTTTTTTAACATTTTTCTCGACCACAGAGGGTAGTATGCACAGCCATTTTTCTGTCTCCTATTTACATTTTAGCAGCTTTATGCAAAAGCTAATAAATGGATCTTAACATTTAGTGGAGTGGACATTTCAAGGAAGAGTTGATTAAATTTTGGGGTATAAATATCAAAGGTTAACTTGACAAAAATCAAAATGTCATGTTCATTATCAAATAATAAAATTGTAATATTTTGGTTAGTATCACTGCATGTTATTTATTGTACTTGTAATCATGCTTTTTCATTTACTGAAAGGTTATAAGGACGGTATTTTCATGAAAAGTGAACTTGTAAAAAAGCCGCAGTTACTAAAGTTTTTTAATGTGCAGTCTAGTACACTCTACCTAGTTTAAATTGTATTTATTTTTTTTAATTTGAAAAACATCAAAATTAAATAATATTTTTAAATAAAACTATTTAAACTAAAGAGCAAAATACAGAAGTGGCAAAAGTAATCTGAGAACCCTGACATTCACCTAAATGATTAAAAATAGATAAAGAATCAACCAAGAAGGAAATATTTATTTATGGATATTTAAGCATAATTATCATGATTATTAGTTTCTTAATTATTTATTATAATTAAATATTTTAATACAATGGTGATAGAAAATACGGAACCTCCCCCCTCCCCCTGGACACTCACTACTTGAGTCTACCACTTAAAATTCCAACACAAAATAGTTTATATTTAGATAATTTTTAATGTTTACGTCATGAATTTGAAGTCCATTAGCACATTCATCCCCAAAGATTGCTTTAAGTGTGAGATGCCATCACACTAAGAAAGTCCATCAATTCTATTGATAATACAAAGTATATTCATTTCCTTTCATTAACTTCATTCTTGGTGCCGCTTCAGGGTACAGAGTGGTCTGCATTATCCTTGACATTTCATAATTTACTTTATCCTCTTTGTCTCATATGTTGTTTTTTTTATTTGATAACTGCGGTTTTTGTTTGCTCTTTTTTGTAATCCATTAGGCGAGACTTTTTTTTTTTTCTTGTTTTGCGTACTTACTTTTTTTTAAGATCATCAGAGGAGGGCGGAATAAAAAAAAAATTAAAATTGTGTTTCCTTAGTTAGCAAATAGTTTTGCCAAAAACATCCAGACAGAGTAGACTAGAAAAAAAATCTGAAAAAAAATGAGTTAGGGGGAGTGGAATGTTAGAAGCAATCCACATAGCCAGATATCCTAATTAATCCCTTCTGGTCACCCTAAACCCTGTTGACACTTGATTTTACTCCTTGTATACAAATGCGGCCATTTTGAAAAATGGCCGCCAAATTTATCTAAAATGTGCATAAAATTGAAACTAAATAAGCTACAGATATGATTTTGTTGTCTAAACTCATAATTTCTAGACAGGCAACAAACTAGACATATAAAAACTACTGTCA